TCTGGGCCAGCATCGACACAATGGCAGTGAGTTACACATGTGTATTTGTTTTCATGAATGGGCAATGCACAGTTTCTGTACCCGACACTTGTCTAGAAATCATTGTTTACTCGGTGCTTCCTCTGAGCCTTGCCCTGCGGCAAAGCTTCTTTGTATTTCACCCTTCACATCGCTTTTCTTGCCTCTGAGAGAAAGCAGGTTTCACAGTTACTGTTTCGGTAAGTGCTCACTTCATGGGTAATTTAAAGCATTGAAGTGTAAGGGCAACTATTCTGCTTCAAAACAAAACAGGAAAATTTACTTGTCATTTTCCCTCTGTGTTTTATTCAGTGCTGTACTTTTCCTCCTCCATATTACTGACACAAGCAAAAATTAAAGAAAGAAATAAGCAAACAATGCCATCTGGCATGAATTCTTCGTGGAAATGGAAAATGTCACTCTTGTTAGCACGTCTTCCTGGAAATAAGTCTCCACAATTCCCGTTCCCGTGGTTTATTTGTCTTTCTTGTTGTTGTTCTGAGCTGATACTCTGGGCACCAGGGGAAAGTTCATTGCCAGACTGCGTCTACAGTTCTAATCATCATTTAAGAGTGCTCACTACATTAAATTACGACGAGCTGGGAAGGGAAAGAACTTCTGTGCTGTCAGCGTCCACCTGCCCCCAAACCAGCTTCCGGTCCAGCTGCTGACAGACAGCTGCAGCCCCTTTGCTGTGCTGTGGGTCTGCAAGGGCCCTCAGGGACGTGGGTGAAAGAAGAAAGCAATGGACAGGGACCGAGGGGGAGCGAGACTGGATTATTAGACAGATACCAGGTATTAGAGGTGTCTAATGGGAGAGAGGGCTACAAACCCCCCGAGAGCAAACCCCACAGCCATCTAGTCAGTCTGGCTCCTGTGACCCTGTAGGACAGAGCAGAACTTCCCCGGAGGGGTTTCTAGGCTGTTCTATGACCGAAGGAGGTTGTCACATCTTTTTGCTGACCAGCCGGTGCTGGGATTGGACTGCTTTCACCGCTGTGGCCCCAGGGCTACTTTGAGAATGTTACTAACTTAATCCTCACTCCTAGGGACACCAGACAGGGCTTCTAAGGCTGCCAAGCTTTACATGAGCGGGCAGCCTCCACTTTCCCTTACAAGCACAGTGGTCAGTGGGTTTGAACCACCAATCTTGTGGTTAGTAGTTCCCTGTTTATCCAAGAGCTCCACCAGGGCTCCTTTGAGAATGGTAGCAGATAAGACAAAGTGATTGATTCCGCCCTGGAGGGTGATATAGAAGGAAGAGGGATCGCTTTAAAGTACACGTCACGTGTTCTCTGTTCTGACACTCTGTGTCCCCCATTTCTTCACGCCAACCAGAAACACCGCAGTTCTTGCACATGGGAGAGATTGTAGACGGTGTGGACATGAGAGCCGAGGTCGGAAGTCTGAGCCGGAATGTTGTGATCCAAGGAGAAATGGAGGACTCGTGCTATGCTGGAAACCAGTGCCAGTTCTTTGATTTTGATACGTTTGGGGGGCATGTCATGGTATGTGAAAATGGTTGCTTAAACACTTCGCTGAGGTCATGTTCTGGAATAAGATTTATATCACTGTAGAAGGAAAATCTTATTTCTCTTTCCAAATGATAATCAGGCAATTGGATGAACCAACTATATGGACAAAAAGTTCAAGACCCTTGGCATTCATATAATATCTAAAATATTCCATTGAGATTATTAATGAATGGCGTTATGGTCACATGCACTTAGAACTTCCCTGAAAAGCATTTTTGTATGCAGATCTTGATCTGTTTCATTCAACATATATGTGTTGAATACATGGCAGATAGTGAAATGTGTTCCAAGGGGCGGCCTGGACCCTACGTATATATATATTTTTAATCAATTTATTGGGGCTCATACAATTCATCACAATACATAGATCAATTGTGCAAAGCACATCTATACATTCGTTGCCCCCATCATTCCCAAAATTTGCTTGCCTCTTGGGCTCCCGGAATCCGCTAATTTTCCTTTTTTTTTTTTTCCCCCTCCCCTTCCCTTCCTCCTCCCCTCTCCCCCATGCACCCTTAATAATTTATAAATTAATTAGTTTTGCTGTGCCGCACAGGCAGTGGTCTTGAACATTTTTTTTCTTGCCTTAATTTCTAAAATATTGATCCATGTTTTTCCTTTGTTTCTAGCCACATGGTTGAAAGCCCAGGGTTTAAAAACAATTAAGTGTGCTTAACTTTGGGAGCATGAAAGAAGTTTTAAAGGCAAGAAACAAGATCATGGACTGATTAAAACCTTGAGGGAACATTTAGAAATAACTATTCGATACCAAATTGATAGACACAATGAATGGATGTATGGATTGTGATAAGCTGTAAGAGCCCCCTCCCAAAATGTTTTAAATGAAAAAAGAAATAACTATTCAACTGTAGTAAAGGAGATAGACATGAAGTAAAAGGGCCAGACTGGAGATGACCAAAGTGCTACATAAAATCAAAGAACATATGGGGACAGAATTTCTTGTATTTCCCTTTATTCCTCATTGGAGGCTGTTTGTTTGTTGCTGTTGCTACGTAAGACATTCACTGTATAAAGTGAAATTGTTAGAATATTTGCTCTGTCAGTAAGCACGGCCCAGGGAAACAGGATTCCAAAGAAATAAGTGTTTTAATAGACACACTTCTTCAGATGTTCACAATATATGTGAATATATAATTTTTTACACATGTATAAGTATACAGGGTGCATAAATTAAAAAAATTTAAAAAATTAAAAAAAGTATACAGGGTGCTTGTATTGAGTTCAAAGATAATGAGTTTTAACTTTTAACTAAAAAAAATTGACTTAAAAGATAATGATTTTTTTCCCCCCACATACTTTTGGAAGCTTCTTTGTGGATATTTATATTTTAATTTAGATTTTTTTTTTTGGCTACTTCCTTTTTGTGGAACCATCAGTTTGATTCCAGAGACTTTGTTTTTTGGTAGATCAAGAAAAATTTTACTTCGGTCCATCTTTCTTATGTGGAATTGAAACACATGGGTCAGCAGTCCCTGGGGCGGTATCCTGTGCATTTTCATCTGTGTGGCGATGTGGATTCTAAGGGAGGGTACAGACACGCGACTTCTGTGGATGGCCTGGCTATTCATCATAGCTTCTCCAGATGCATCACGGTGCACGGGACGCATGGATTATTGGTAAGCAGACTGGATAGGGACACCCACGGTACTAAGCGTGTTCCCCTGCACGCTTTGCTGCTTCTTGCCCCTACTGAGGATTGTGTTTTCCTTTCTGAATGTGCAGCTGTCCCCTCACCCTTCCCAAAGTACCCTCTTCAGAGAGAAATCAATCCTGACACTCGGCTTGCGCTCCCTCCGCTAAGATGGAAACTTCTTTGTGCATTTGTACTGAGCACGCTATGCTGAACAGCACTTGTTACTTAAATCATAATCCATCTTGTTACCAACACATGATATACTTGTATTCCTGCAGATAAAAGACACCATTGGGTTTGACACACTGGGCCATTGTTTCTTTTTGGAGGATGGTGTTGAACAGAGAAATACTTTGTTCCACAACCTTGGGCTCCTCACCAAGCCCGGCACCCTTCTCCCCACGGACAGGAACAATTCCATGTGTGCCACCATCCGGAATAAAGTATTTGGGAATTATGTCCCTGTGCCTGCCACGGACTGTATGTGAGTACATGGCTGAGTGAGAGGTCACATGTGCTGGTCAGGGTGTTTGACTTTGGGGGGAAAAGTCATTTGGGGGGAAGTTGATTGTGGGCAGGATTGTTCATGAAGAATGCTTAAATCACCTT